AAATATTTGTGTCACCTTATTGGCTTATACAGTGGGGCAAGGTGATCTGAAGCAACTGCCTGAGAAAATATTGACAATACAAGGCACCCCAGTTCCTACCTCAAAGCGCACTTCCAGAGCGGTCCTGCACAGTGCTGGGTATTACAACAAATTCGTCGAGGAATTCAACCAGTTGGCTTCACTTTTGTAAGAGCTACTGAAACAGGATAAGAAATTCACTTGGACTGCAAAAGCCCAAGAAGCATTTGATCGCATTCTACAGGAAATGGGAAGGCAGGAGCTGATCCTGAAATTGCCCGTTGCTAGAGAGATGTTCACGGTGGCCACCGATGCCAACAACGTCGGAGCCGGTGCAGCTTTGAAACAAAGCCAAAGGACGATTGAGTACGCCAACAAAATTTTGACACCGACAGAACGCAAATACTCAACCACAGAGAAGAAATGTTTCGGAATCGTCTGGGTGCTGGACAAATGACAGTCATATCTGCTAGATCAGCGATTTCAGGTCGAAAAGAACCACAAGCCTTTGGAGTGGATTACGTCTGCCAAAGACCCCAAGGGAAAGCTAGCGCGATGGGCGCCGCGCCTACAGGAATTCGATCTCACGATAAACCACGTGCCGTTGAAGGAGAACAAAACTGCGGATTCTTTGTCACGCATCATGTACGAAGATGACCTCTCGAGTGTGGCTTTCGGTATTAATGGTATACTGTTAAAGCAGGATCCGGGACAGTTGGCGACCGAACAACGCAGTGACAAACTCTTGCGCAAAATGATCACCGCACGAATAACCGGTCCGTCAGTCCTGAGCAAGAGTCAACATAAACAGCTCGGACCGTTTGTGAGGTCACGAAAAACTACAAGTAAATGAAGTGGGGATCATGATGTGGATACTAGGAAGTAGCCACACTACGGTGCCGGTAATTCCGACGAAACTAAGGCGGAGGGTGGTGATTTCTTGTCATGAGATGGCGCACACCGGTTGTTCCAGGACGTACGAGCTGCTGAGACAACGCGCCTATTGGCAAGGCATGAACAGGGACGTCGAGACACTTGCTCTCGAGTAAGCAATGTCAGCTCTCGAAAACCGACTGCTGGGGGCACAACAACCATTGCTGTCGATTCCGGTATCGGAAATTAGTGAACTATGGTCGATCGACGTGATGAGACCGTTTCCAATGACCAGGCGGGGCAACCGATACATCTTGTTGATGACGGAGCACTTCACGCGCTGGATTGAAGCAACGGGAACCCCGGATCAACGTGCGATCACCATTATCTATGCCGTCACGAAACGTCTGATAGCGGACCAAGGAATCCCAAAAACCATGTTAACAGACCAGGGTCCGTGTTTCGAGAGTAAGGAAATCCGGAAATGCTTGGAGAAACTTGGTATCAGTGCGCACAATCCCATACCACCCGCAGACAATTGGCTTGGCGGAGCGTAAAAACAGAACGATTAAAGAGTGGCTAGCTGCAAAGGGTGGAGACTGGGAGGAAGCTTTGTCACTGCTGCTGCTGACCTATCGAGCATCCAAACGGGCCTCCAAAAAGAAATCGCCATTCCAATTGATGTACGGTCGAGCACTTCGCCAACCTGTGGATTTAGTGGTTGGAATGTGGTCAACTTGTCAAATATCTCCCAAAGAGGCACAGGATAACAAGGAAGGCATCCAACCGTAACCTGAAGGCAACTCAGGCGCATAGGATGGAGAAGTCCCTGACCAACAATGGTGAGGTGCGTGTCGAGCTTCCAATCGGTTAGAGCGTGAAATACAGGGACCATTAACGCGTTCCCACTTGTGGCCCAAAGGAAGGGACCGTAAGATTTAGTCGACCGGCAAGACCCAGTGTACACAATCACTCGGTAAGGAGATTCACGGCGAGTGCATGCCAATGAGTTGAGGAAGTGGCACCAGTTAGAGGAGGAACCCCTTTTGCACAGTGAGCATCCCCGACGGTCAGAAAGACTCCGAACAAAGGCAGCTGGGGAGAGCACTTTGGAGGGGGAGTGTGGCGGACTATAGGCAGATGCTACTGCGCCAGTTAGCAATAGTATGGAAGTGTCAGGGTGCGAAACAGCAACCAGCCAACAGCAGGCAATAATGACTCTCCTAAAGGAATGGAACAAGTTGGAAGCGTAGTTGCATGCGCACGAGGAATGTACGCATAAGCAATGTACACCACACAACCAATAGACGACAAAAGAAACCCGCACCATGCAACCCCTAACAATGAGTAGGAAGATTAGTTGATGTTTCGTCGGCCCGCTTGCACTTCGGGTTCTTACAGATACTCAGGGCGTCCAACGTGCGCGCGAGTGCAACTAGTTGTCCTAGAGCGTGAACGTTGAACGCCGTCAAGGAAAAGGCATAGCGTGACATTATGACAGACCGCAGCCGATAAGCGTCAATTGGTGGTGAGGGAAGATAGCTGTCGATGATCGAACTGCATTGGCATTGCGGCTGCTGTAAAGTAAGCTGGGAACAATAGAAGAAATATCAGTAATGGAGATTGGGAGGGGAGCAAGAGAGATGGAAAAGAAAGGAGGCGCCGGCAGGAAAGTGTTTTCGCTCATCCGCCCTGCTGTATGCAGCGAATAACGCGACCCTGATAATCTATGCGAAGGCCAGATCAGGATGTAGTAAAAGGTTAAAAATAGTCATGTTTTTAGGTGGGCCGAGTTACTGTTACGGCGCCCAGACCTGGACAGGAGGACGGTTGGGGTCCTCTAACAAAGCGTTTGGCTCAAAAGCCTGTCCCCTCAAGTTAGCGAGGAAGTGGCAACGGTTTGGTTTAGTCATCCCCTATCCAATCCCCAATATGGAAGACGAGGAGACTGAGTTTGTCTGACCTCCATACAATGACGTACCTGGTAGGATTAGCTATCAAAAGGAATGGACACCACACAGTATAGCTGAATGGGTCGAGAGGTACGCAAGCTATCGTATCATGTTAGGGTTCAGTGTTGTTACGACAGCGTGGACAGCATGCATAATCAGAGATTACAGGAGTTCACGCAGACAGAACCGAAAACAAACCCCCATGTCCTGTGCTTTATTTCAATGTGAACTGTATAACAAGCTGGCCTGCTTAAAAAGTCACAGACTGCTATAGCTTCCCTATCCATACTTAAAAAAACGTGAGAAGTTTCGAAACAAGCTCACTATCTAATCAGTAAGTTGATCGTTGACTCAGTAAAAATGGGATTTGCTCCGTTCTACGCAGGAGTCCCATTGTGATTTGACATGGAAACAGTCGCGAGATATGAACATGTGAAAAACTCTAAAAACGAAGCGGTTCTCAGAAACTTAAGAGAACAATAAAATATGAAATTTCCCACAACCTGCGTTATTTCAAAATAGGAGGCCACACCTATGAGTCATGAAAAAATGATGGCACATGCAAATGGAAAACGGGCTAATTAATGCAGGGAAAATGTTTCGTAGGTTCGCACTTAGCTAACATCAAAATCCAGCTAAGCAGCATATTTGTCTATACACCGGTTTCAAAGATTTCACAGTGAGAATTGCACGCATGTTCGATGCACACAAGACGACATCGGTTCGTTGGAAACAATACCGCCAACCAGTTGTTGGGCGAGCTAAGTCCTCAGGGATTCTTCGTCAATATCATTTTACTACGGATCTAATTGTCAAACTTCGGAGAAGTTCTGTCAAGTCAGCATTCGTCTAATACCAGTGAAAAATTGATTCAATCAAAGCATGCGATGCAACAACAAACTGAGTAGGTTGGTAAAGCTACAACGGCCGGTAAAACAGGACAGGTAGCTTCATGGTTTGTTACAGGTGAAGATCAATGCGGACCAGCTGACAAAATACTTCTCACACTGACATGCATGAGCAGAAAGTGAAGGATGCCGTGGCGTTACTGCGTGCATGACAGTAAAATCCATATTTTTTAAAAATGATGGTATACTTGTGCAAACGTTCTTAAGTGCACGCTGCCATTTTGTCACTGACGCTTGTTACCACGTGTCATTTCGTTAGCATCAATGGATGTTTGCGACCGCTGTTTCTGGATGTGGATCACAACTTCAACACGACGCTGACGTAATCACGTTCCTCTATTTGTGTGATTCGTTATACGCTCGGTCTTTATTGGCTTTAGCTGGTGGCGCGCTTTACTGCGCTACAGTTGGTTTTAACAGAAATGCTATATAAATGGTGTCGATTTTTAATGAAAAGATTACTATTCCTGTTCCATTACCGTTGCTGGGCAAAAACAGTTATGAAGACGGACAAAACAATGGGAAAAGTCGACCTAATGTATTAAGTCTGACAAGAAAGAAAGTGTGAAACGTTCGCCCGTAGCTGCTGAAGGTTTATTTCTAGCATCAGTTAGTAAAAACAATTATAGAATGTTGAGCTTCGTAGAGCGCACCTGATTGGTGGAGTTTACTGCTAATACACAGTGAGGACCATGCTGCTCAGAGCACGTGTGAAGTGCAATTAATCCACTTGTAGAAAGTAAGAAATCACTCGCGCGAAGTGGAAGAACACAAAGCCAGACCAGGGACGGCATAGTCGTTCATATAGCTTTTCGTACAGAACCCCAAGTGACTTGTTGCCGATGTGGACAGATGAAACAGCATTTCTGGTGGCGTGCAATTTATTCTCAATAGGGAGGCTCACAAATACCGAAATGGACCGTAACACTAAGGATAACCGGTTTAGAATGAAAATACTTGTGTTGTTCCTCCCAACACTGGCACACGACGACCGCATTTTCGTCTTGCTTTGGACTCATTAGGTGGAGATAGCCTAAGTTGGGGTGGAACTCAGAGCCTAGTAGTTCACGGTTGACACCCTGAACACTACTGCTACTGAGATCCGCGAGCAACGCTCGACACAGCGGAAAGCAAAGCAAAGTCGAATTTAGGGAACCCGCTGTGTGGTTGGATTGCCACTCGCAACCTCTACTGAGATCTCGGTTCACTTTGAGGTAAACCTCGATCATTGCGATCGCAAGGACCGTATCCGATAAAAGGTTTATTTCGGTGTGTGATAAAATACGGGGCAATCAATGTGGATTGTGTAAAAAAAAACTCATTTTAACTGCATCAAAGTGCAAAACTGGCGCAAAGCAAACTTTTCGATATTTTAGTAAACGAACCAACAAGTCGGAAAATCAAGATCGACGTAGACAACAACAAGTCACTTCGGAATGCTCATCAATCAGAGGTGAAGCGGAACGCAGACTATCGGAGTAAGTTGGCGAAATCCCAAGATAATCACTTAAAAGACTGAGTACACGATGCGCGCAGTAGGGCTGCAAGCGCTTAAAAATCGCTTATAGTTGGCAAAATATTTGAAAATAACTGAAAACAAAGTTCCAAAACGACAATTGTAGCAAGTAACATCAAAAATATGCGAAAAGCGATAAGCACAGGGTGCCGATCGGACACCAAAAGTTGTGAAGCGAAAAAGTAGGTAATCTGGAGACAAGAAAGAGGCCACTTGCGACACACGTTTAGCCAATTCGTACTGTACGCCAATCGTTGAATGATTGCGCACCAAGAGAGAACCAGCCTGGGAGTGCTCAACAACGATTACGCCGGTCAAATAAGAGGCGGAAACAAATATGCATCAAAGCATGATTGCAACGGATGCAGAAGGCACGGGTGTGTATACGAATGGCGGATCACGGTAGTTGTGTACGTGGTCGCCTGCCAGCTGGACCCATAGGCTTTTCAAACTTGGGCTTATCTTCTTTAGGTTTCGGATACAGTAAGTCCAGGAGGTAATCCGTAGTAAACTCTTCCATATTGTCCGTCTCAAGCTGTGGAGTGAAATAATGAGGAGGCAAATGATAATGAATACTGCAGATGGAAATAGACAGAACAAATTTCACGGAAACGCTGGTGGGAAGGACTTCGTGTACAGAGACTTGTCATTTACTTCGAGGAAACTAGAGGAAAAGAGCAAGCGAGAAGCACACAAGAAAGTTGTTCTCGATAGCATCAAGCCGGGTTTCGTGCAGGCGACAAAACAGAAAGGATGGCAGCACAAGAAACAAGGTCGGAAGATGATAACCAGCGAATGCATGCATGCACAGGAGACCCCAAAGCCAAGAAAAAAGACGGAGAAGGTAATTTTGGATGTAATAACATGAAGCAAAGCGCATCACGCTGGTTAAGTTAAATTGGCTTCAGTGGGTCTAATTTCGATTAAAGCATGACGAGTGTGGGATGAATAGGACGTGGGAGAAACGGTGAACTTGCAGTCGATGTAGCTACAACCTGATGCCATCCTAGTAAACTGCGGACAATCAATACCAGAAGATATAGAGAGAAGCCAGTTACGCTGACAGAAATGAAGTGGCTCGGCTCCACTCCAAGTTAGCAAAAAATTAACCCTCTCGACTAAACTTCGACAGAAACAAATATGGTGACAAATGCCTAACCAGGCCAGGATATTGCATTGCTTTTCGCCTTTCACGCTGCACTAAGTTACATAACCCGTTCCTGTTTGTGTACATCAAGAAATGATTGACTAAATGAGTCTCGAGTATTACACCTCCGAATGCCAACTAACCTAGATGGACAAGTGTGTCACTAGTGATATAAGTTGGATATTGGTCGATATGTGGTTTTCCGAGAGAGCCTTGAGGGGTGGACAGATCAAACTGCACGATTCCCACAGAAGCAGTCATTTGCAACGGGGTCGCTCACACATACTTTGATTGCTGGAGTAGTCGTCCTATGTGGCACAGAAATAATAAGGAGTCGAAGCACTGAGTTCACAGAGACGCTAAACAAGTGGCAAGAAAGAAATTCCGGTTGGCTTATCTTCCCTTGCGATCATAAATGAAAGTGCACAATCGTAGTTGTTTTGATTCACAGAAGCCTTGGAGCCACCCATTGGTGCTTAGGAGAATGTGGCAAAACTCAACTCTGTGATCATAAATGAGCCATTCAAGTGCTACCACGTATTGTTTGTTCTTATACAAAATAACTGAGGAATCTGGATTCAAGTGCTCATCACCGGGCTCGACTTAACTGTGTACTTCAGTTGAAGCAACCGGTAACCGGGCTTAAACAATAGGGAAACGAGTAATTTTGGCGGGATTCGATGAAAAAGCGGTAAGTAACTATTTCATTCAACTGGGACGCATCAGTATAGAGCGGCTCTACCGAACGTAGCGAAGTGTGAAATCGATACCGCCTCCATGGGGGTAGGGGCATAAAACAATGAGCGCGATAGTGGCGGCCTGCACGGCCAAGAAAATTATGCTCTAGTGCAGTGCGGAGCACAGGTGTCGTTATAAGCCATAACGACAGTGCCCGTCGCGGAGCTGTACGCCATCGGGCGCGTCTCCAGGTTGCGGATTGGGGAATGCCTTCCTTGTGGAGATAACTGCGAATAAGTCTCGTTTGCCTTGCAGGCGAGATGAATAAGCAGTCGCGGACAATCAGCGACAGCGTCTCAGAGCGTGGGGAGTTCTGGGCTGGTCACCTGGTTCTCCATCAAATACCACAAGAGCTCGTACGGCGCTGTGTCAAAGCCAATGTGACCGGCTATAGGGTCACTGACCACTCACTTCTGTAACCAGAGGTGAGTGTATAAAGGAGAGCGGATGAACAAGCTTGCTGGCCACCGGCTTCTCTGGGGACTGCTACTGAACATAACGAAGGCAAATGAACCACCCGGATGTCAACGGTCTTCGCTAATCACCCCGCTGCCTTGTGGGTTAGGTTTTAAGACCAAAGGCTCGGGGTGGGGTCCCTTAAGTCAACCCTCTTCCTCGGCCTGGACAACCGGGAAGAGCTCTGCCTACACATAATCATTCTAAAGTTTCCAAATCATTTCACTGACTGCCCGTCTTTCCCCTTTTTGTTGTGGTTAACTGTGTTGTGGCACTGCCAATTGTACATAGGTCAAGTGTTGAATAAAAATAAAAATAAGAATGGCAGTGCTGATTGCAGACTGATAGCGACGGATTGAAGCACCGTCAAAGAAGATAAGTGAGGATAAACGGTAAATTTAGCGGAGAAACAAACGGTTGGATTTCCAGAGACTCTTACTTCGCATTAGAGGAGAATATTGTATGAAACAAGTTGTGCGGCATTTTACGTCCAAGAAATATACGCGGCAATGTTTGTCCATGGTGTCTCAGGAGTGTCGAGTAGTCTAACAACATTCAAAACAAAGTCTGAGTAACAATCAAAAGATGTTATCTGTACGGCAAGATAGCCTTTACTCTGTAAACAAAAGTGCGGGTGCTATTTTGTCGCGATATCTTCACATCCGCCATTTTGTATTTTCGTCTTCTGAGATGGGGTTGTGCTCATTTGTAGACACGTTCTGCTCATTTCAGTCAACTGCTACGCCTGCATTGTCCGCCCAAAGGCATGTTGAGGCACGACGTCATCTCAATTTTGTCTGCCTGGTCAGCGCATACGCTTCGTCCGCTCACGGCTATTCCAGGAAATCTGCTTCGCCGTTGTTCGTGACAAAGCTATGCTTTGTCCCTTCTAAGCTGGGCCGATCCTTATTCCCCTCTCTGTCTAGTCCACGCGTGACCAGTTTGCGTCGTTACTGAATGTTTGCACTCCCGCCTGCCTACAACTTCGCTCAAACGGCTAACTATTGCCACAAAAAGGGTCGTTAAGCACGTGATCATCTTTGGAGGTGGTTCAGAGATGTTGCACTAATATCTAAGTGCAACGCAACAGTTACTGAACGCAGATGAGTGTATTGTTAGGGCGCCAAAACTTGGTCAATAATGGGGACTGTGGGAGTGTGTCTCTTGATCTACCACGAAACAGACTGCACATACTAAAGAACTGTAGTATGATAAGTTCAGTTACCATGGCTCGCATAACCACGACAGTAAAAGAAACATAGGGAATTATAACAAAAGAGAACGCAAAGAAACCGAATTTAAAAAACAACAACAGGAGAACTGCGTTCGTCGGTAGCGAGAAGCAATAAACCAGGGGCAAAGAAGGATATGAAACTGGCCGCACCGGATACGGCATCCTCCTATCACCAATTTAACTGGTGTTTAAACCAACGCAGCCCGTAGTCTAAAGGATCAAAAGCCTGCCTTGTAATCTGGAGGCGCGGGTTCGAACCTGCGTAGAGGACCGGGCGACCCTTACAGTATCAGTAGCCCACACGAGACTGCTGGCAGCTGCGCCGCAGAGAAATATCAGTACTGCGTATCTGCGTACTGCTGATGCCGGGAAAGAAGAAATGCATCAGCCCTACAGCGTTTCGGTGAATTTATCCATATCCCTTAAACTTGTTATCTACCAACCACCATGTGGTCAAACTTAGGTATTGTCATAGGCACTGTCTAAAAACAAGGCGTAACAAGACAACCCATCGGTGGACAAACAAAGAATAAAGTCTATCTCGTACAATTCGACGTGGTGACAGAAAAACAACTAGTAAACACCACTCGGTGGATCTCCGCAATATCTATTATCAACCTCGGTTGATAAGAACAATGTTCCGTAGGAACAGTCTTCAGAGTGGGATAGCGTCGTAATGTCCGCAGAATATCTCATATCCATACAGTAACACCGGGCGCATTATATTCTTGTAAGAAAAACCGCTCCCGTCCGATAAGCTGACAAAATTCGACTTCCAATAATGAAATAGGTTTTGGAAAGCCATAGGTACAAACAAGCACACGCAGTTACACTTTTGGCGAGTCGACTGCCCGTTTTGACACAACTGTGTGCTTCAGCGAATTGATTCATCAATTCCATTGATCGTTTGAGTAGTTTAGCTACTCAGTCCAACGGTAAAACTGCGGAATCCAACATCAAACTGTGTAGCGTCCTGTGGCGGTCTGTTCAGAGGAATGTGTAGGGGTGTTGCGTACGGCATCAAGAGGGTTGTGACGTCGGCACACCCTGGGTTTCCATTTGATTATCAATTAGAACCCACACACTGAGTGAATTAAGCAATAGACAAGGCAATCCAGGAGTATTCTAATCAAATATGAAGAGAAGGAACGAGTTAGGGTGGTAATAACGTAGTCCACTATATTCGTTATGAGTTTGCTGAGAAATTCCACCAGGTATGGAGTCTCAGGGTATGAGATATCTATAGAATGGACGAGCAGAGATTTTTAGGTGGAGTAGTAAGAGAACACTCATGTCTAATATAAAACCACAAAACTTCGCTGATAGCGGAAATTGCGGCTCGGAAGCTGTGGGTTGTGTGCTCAATAAAACCGAACCTTGTGGACTGTCCAACAGGCATGCCGAATGAACTGTGTCGTAGACTATAGCATATCGTATTAATTAACTTGCATGGGTGTTACCGCTCTATGAAGCTTACCGTGTGTGAGCAAATGTACTAACAAAGGAAGCTGAACTGAGCATAAGCTAAGCTATGGACGGGTGCAGAATACGGAGCTTGAAGAAAGCTCAGTTAGGTTTGCCTCTAGTTAAACATGCAGAGTGGCTAGAACCCAATAGCAAAGAGAATAAACAGAAAATGCGGGGTGTGTGGTGAGCGTCCGATCAGTCAATGCTCAGTCGGTGGTAGAGAACCCCATATAATTGTGCATGCCGACGACAACACTGCAAGTTTCTCGGAGCAAAATGAGAAAATGCCATGAATTCAAAACTGTTTTCTGATGCAAAGGGGAGAGCAGCTGTCGTGAACAAACAGAGCGAAAAATGTCACCTGAATAGACTGCGGGGGGAGATAAATGGTGAAAGACAGCAAATTGGAGAATAGAATAAAAGGCCAAGTAATATGTGCCGCAGCACAATGCATAGAATGTGTACCATCCGGTAAGCAAAACCAGGTCGGTAAAGTTCACTACGGAAGGCTGGTTGATTTTAGCTACTCACAATCGTCAGTAGACCCAATAAGCTCAGGGTAGTAATTCACCGGAAGCTGAAATAGCCGCTGTCCAAAAAGGAACTGTGCACAGTGCATGGACAGATGTCACGCATGTACCAGGCCAATTGAAGAATAGAAGGAATAAGTTTCGCCCTGTTGCCATCAGTTTGGATCCTGCGGTGATGCCGCATTACGCGCCCCATTGCTAATTAGAAGTGTCGCTGCCATTGATTCACCATATCTCAAATATCCGGTAGTAGTCATTGGACAAATGCAGGTGCTTGCTCCAGATTGATTGCCACTCTTGTGCTTGCACGTTGTCTTTCCTCAAGAGTTGGAAATGCTATTATATTCTTAGAGTGTTTATACATTCGTTTAACCTAAGGAGTGAATACTGCTTTCATAGAAACGATGGGTCCATAATAACACGACGTCACATAATAGAAGTGCGAGGCTAAACAGATCTTCCGAGACCTCATCGAACAAGCGCCAGAGCCTGTGTGCAGTGCAGCTTATGATCATGTGATAGCCAAAACCCGTGGACGTCCAAGATCATGTAGGTTAGGTGAAAGAAGTGCAAACTGGCTGGAGATTCAGCGAGTGGATGTAGGGCGGTGGGTAACCAAAGCCAATGTTGTATGCAATGAACCATTTGTTATCCAGATACTAGGCTAGATTGGAGCGTTCGATACGGTTCGTATCCTCACAGCGAGGATCAAAAAAATTTGGATGACATCAGAAAACAAACCGATGACTGAAAATGAGGAATAAGGGAATTCGCATTAATATCTACGGAAAATGAATACTACTCACCGCGTGAAAACTGGCTACGGACCTAACATTTGATCCGGTGGAAGGCTCCCTTTTAGCATGCGAAGGCATTTAACATGAACTTATCGACTTCTAACGAAATAATTTGGTTGGACGAATACATTGACTACATATGCAAAAACCATAGTTAGAAGCAATGGTCATAAAACACGTGTTTGATCCTATGAACATTTGCCTGTTTCTGCCTAAACTTCCTTCAATGCAGCTAAATAGTAGCATTACAGTGACGCGGATTAAGGTAACAGCATTCGACTCGCTTCAGTGATAGTTCATAGGAATGAGGTGCAATTATCATTATTCCACATAAGCCGAAAGTAAGAAACACATTTCACCTATTATGCCGCAATAAAAAGATATGGGAAAACGGGATTTAAAATATTATACAATACAATACGAAAACAAAAAGTAAGTAACATGATGTATGGTGCCACATTGCGCGTCGGCTGTGAAATCGTGGTTGGAGAGAGATAAGCGGAAGAAGGACAAAGAAACTCACAATGCAAACACCACTGAGACCGACTCTTGGCCATGACAATGAGGTGCAAGATAACCGGTAAGCGTTTATGTCGGTCCAACAACTGTATGTACATGTGCACGTGAAAATAATGCAGTAGAAACGGTACGATTGCCCATTGGACTAAAGACACCCCGTGCAACCTAAAGCTGCGGCTTAGTTGGTCAACTGAAAGGATCCGTACGGCACCAAAAGGTTCCGCACTACTTCAAAATCAATACAACAAAACAGACATCAATGTGCACCCATCAGCCGAACTCATAGTACGGAAGTTCGTCTTCGATTGCACGTACTCCGCTGAAGTTTGATATTCGAGAGAACGGATTTTCACCCAACGGCAATCCACAGTCAAACAAAAATGAAAATGCCCTTTAGCAAACTGACTGCAAAAACCCTGTCCCTATGGCTCAAAGGATCGTGGTGACAGCCGTCACTTACTCGCCAACACTGGTACATCGGACATGCGCAGGCTAGACGGTGCAACAACCTGTAGCGACTTGGGGGTTTTACTGATTTGCATGAGTTCGCTGTGTAAAATTCTCGTACCGTTAGATGATAGATACGGAATGTACGACAGTATGTTAAGTGTCTGAATCGTGAGCAGATCATATACAGTCAAATCGTGGTACGCCCTAAGCAGTCTCACATAGTACTGGTATCGCATCGTTAGACGACACATATGGGAATACTGTATTCGCTGTTAATAAAAGCTTGGCGGGGTAAAAGTAGACGGCGGTTAACACTGTACAGGAAGCTTATCAGTTCGAGTTTACCGTTCCCCGTTAAGAGCCACAGCGAATGAAATCGAGAAAAATCAGAAAATCAGAAATGAAAAAATATAAAACAAAGTTAGTTACAGTCACCTGTGTGAACGCTCGGCGACGTAAAGAAAACGTACAAACCTACCCGATGGGCGAACCTCAGGCCAAAACGCTGCTCCAACTGCGACAATAGTCCAGACTTGCAGCCAGAATAAAGGATACGACTTTTCATAGAACCTTGGTAACCCGATATGGAATGGATGAAGACTGGAAGGAAAAGCAGTGACAAGTATGGTTCACAGCAAGTTCCACAACGCGGCTGTTGGGTATGGAAATGGGGTAGGTAACATTTCAATGGTATATTCAGTCTTCTGAAGAGTAGGTACAAAATAATACGCCAGCTTCATTACCTAAGGTAATGCGACGGTTCGCTCAATAGACTGCCGCACAAGGCACTGAGGTGTAAGTTCAGCTCTGATGAGGAAATGCATAGACCCATTCAGATAAACCTGAGGCCGGTCAGATGTAGCGTTCGGAGGCTTAACCATTCGCATACGTTTTTCCACTGTAGTATGTAGCGAGTGTACGTTTGGTACGCATGATTCCCTAAACAGATTGCAACAAAAATGCTGCTTCTGTACATGTTGACGAAGTGTTGGGCCGGCGCCGTTGAGGAAAGGTGGCTCTCATCGACATGCCTTCCGGCCTTATTTCTTCGGGTTTACACTGGGTATAGTGTAAGTCGACGGGGCTGTGGGTGGTGCAGCGCAAGCCACTCATGGTCTCTCTGTAGGCGTAGGGGCCCCGTGGCTGTCCTATGGAGGCCACAGTGATAGGAAAATCCGGAATCGGATGCCGCCAATCATGCAGCGAGTCTGTCACCCCGGCCAAAAGCAAAAAGAAGCTGGAGAGTTTACACTCATTTGATCAGGAGCTGCCTGGCTTCTGTGGGGCAGTAGCAAACTACTGAGCACCCGGTGATGCTATCCCGTCGGCAGAAACAATGGGTGACGCTCGTGCACTACACCAACCGAGCTTTTTCCGTCACCTAGTGTTTCTGATGAATAAGTTCTAAAGAAATAGCACCATGAACCTCTTCTCCATACCCGAAGAGGATTGTGAGACTGAGCTAATCTGACCAATAACCATTGACCTGCCTGGTATGCGTGGCTCTGAAGACACTTGGAAAGTCTCACCCTGCGTGACTCAAGGAGTGATGCAGGAATACAAACTATCGCACCACCGTCCAGTCTCGATGCGATGGTCGCACAGCACCATCATCAACTAAAATACGATGAGTAACAAGCTTCAGATATCGTAAAAATCACTCACATTAGCCGAGTCCGCAGTTTGACGTCGGACAAACCTTGAGTAAACAAGCTCCGAAGAGGTCGATAACAGGTTAATCAAACCGCTGCCATAGGAAACAGCATATACTCGTTATGGCCACAGCTCGATTAGCAAAGAGCGTGAGGATTGGTAGTTGCCGCTGACGTTTGGGAAACACCAATACTGATAGTGTTTGTCACCAGGCACACTTCAGGCCCGCTATGCCGGTGAAGTGCAAACCCATGAATGTTAACCTGAAGTTGTATGTGATTGTGGTTGGAAAAGCATACATAAGCATCCTCGACACTCATTAGTTATGCAAGACCGACCTCAAGCAGATCCGTGTGGGGCTAACACCGCGCTGCTTCTGCCACGTCCTGTTATCCTGTGGATCAGATGGATGAGAGGTAGGAATTAAAGAGCAAAACTTCTACGTAGGAATAGACGGTCGGTGAGTGCAATGTAACCACAACGCCTTCACAACGCGTCTCAACACAAACAGCAGATCAACAGGTCACTCATGTCTAACCTTGCAACCCATGTTAACGCCTCATCCAAACCACGTCGGAATCTAACTATTCACATCATATGAGATAATGCAACATCTGCACTTCATGATGGGCTAGTCAAGAAGTAACGAAGTCTCGCTGTTGAATACTGCCTCTTGAATACGTCAGGTTCTAACGATGTAATACCAACTCTCCTAGTCGGATGAACGAACGAGACTCAGAATTATTTCTCGCACAGCACGGTAACTGACAATCTCGAAGTCTGTGGGTTCTCGGAACTTAGCCGCGAAAGATTAATTCACGCGAGTCTAACGGGTTCCTAGACCGAACGCAAAGTTTCTACGCACGATTTCCCAACCCAAGACTGAATCAAGAACAAGACAGGCCTTTTGCCACAGGCGCTTTTACTGGCCAAAGCTAAGGCGATTCTAGCGTTGTACAGCCTCATTTTTATATCACGAAACGGTAATGAGGGGGATGGGTTCCCTTGGAAGGGTTTGCGTAAGCAAACCCTGGAAACAAGTAACATGGTTTTATGTAAATATGCAAAGTCCGTAAACTGAGCAGAAATGTTGGAAGTTTGGCGAGAGTTGTCCGGAAAAATAAATGTTGCTTGGATACAACAATGCGTGTTTGGTTGGAAACAAGACTGTTTCTGGGTGCAAAGGCTAAACAATGTGAATGTTTCACGAGTTGGAAGGCTGATTGAACGTATGCGTTTTGTCTGATCCGAGTACATGTGCACTTGTATGAATCGAGTTTTCAGCCTTCCGTAATTTAAGCCTGTAATAATTATAGGGGACGTTGGGTCCCCATAACACTCGCAATATGCGTTCCCGTGCCGTTTCTTTAGGCGGCATCTCAGAAGCATGACACATGCATAGTAGCTTTGCGGCCGAGCCTCGATCACGAGACTTGGATTACAGTGACTACGCTTATACTCATGGTGCCTACTGTGGTGCCATGTTAGGGACTAATGCTTACCAGTTTGGTACTATAATCTGCGAAATGACAGAACACACACGCTGGAACAAACCTCTGAAAGCAATAACGATAATAATAATAATAATAATAATATTAATAATAATAATAATAATAATAATAATAATAATAATAATGGTTCTTGAGCGCTCTGGAGGCTGTTCCAGTACTAGAGGCTACAAGGCACGATTATGATTATCAGTAACATAAGGATTAAGTGGTGGCTGTGTGGTTAGGTGTGTTTGTGCTGGGGTTTTGTGTAACGGATTAAACACACTAGCCATATTTCTTTCGGTGCATCCTGGAAGACTTCACAGGGCGATTTTCAATGTGAAAACACAGTAATTATCGAGTTCTCGTTAGGGAAACTTTCCAGTTTAATGGGAAGCTTTTAGCGTTTGCACAATGCTTAAGAGTGACTGGTAAGATACTGAAATTCGAACAATTATTAGTTGATGTAAACAAGTTGACTTTTAACTGTCTTGGCAATGACAAAAGACTAGATTCCAGAGACAGTTAAAGAACGTGATTGTTGCTAGCGAAGTAAATTTTTTCGTTAAAAGCCTGTTTTAGGATCAGTAGTTCTTATTGGCAGTGCTGATCAGTTTCCTGAACAACAGGCTTAACAGCAGTCTTCTAGTATAAATACCTGCGCAACACTACCTGATAGCCCTGGAACAATTACAGCTTCCCAACAAATTGTAACGAAACCAGACTGTGGATTATAAGATTGCACAGGAACGCTTGGCAACAGGAATAATCGAGTAGCAGTTCAATCCATATGAATTGCGAGAATAAAAAAACTGTGAATGAGAATTGTTCGAGAAAGGTTGGAAATTAATACACTCTGAGCCACGTAGGCTAGAACGCTAGGCAAACCAGTCTAAGCAACAACTCAGCCAGCTTGGTATGCCGCCATGCGTTCCATAAGAGTTGAGACCACAATGCAAGACAGCACAAAACGGAAGCTGTTGAAATGTATCAAGGTGCTTCGCACTAAAACGATATTTGGCGGTTTAGCAGTTTGTAGTTGAGAAGGATCCTTCGGACTAGTAGTTGTCAACTGTTGTTAGCTATTGTGCCGCAATAAATGAGAAGGGAGAACGATGCAACACAGGCACGCCAGCTGAATACTGAGAATAAAGAGCAAGCTAAACATCTGTGTTGCTGCATCGTAGGTGTACCGCGCACATGCGCGGAATCCCGTTACTGATTCCTGCGTAGTAGCAGCATATTGCAGATGAACATCTTATCCAGGTGTGATACGCTACTTATACGTGTAGTTCGCAAAGTGGCCGTCAAAGAATCTCTTAAATCCTGACACTCAATTCGCCTTAAATAGTATCTCCGGCAATTCGTTTCAATATTTCTCCACTCGACGCGCGAAGTAAGAGATTAAGCGATACACCTTAAATCCTGTACCACTAGTTGGTACCAGCGTCCGCGTGTGCTGTTTAGTGAGCAAATTTGTAGCAGCTGTCATAACATAGGTGCAATATTCGGTGCGTCATAATGAGATCAACAAAGCCCTAGTCTCATCGTACGACATGCATCGTAAAGTAGGGATGAGCCGGGTAGCTACGTACTGAACCGGTTCCAGTCCCTGCATATATATATATATATATATATATATATATATATATATTCAACACGGCCAATAGTACAATTGGCATATTGCTACAACGTATGGGAAATACAATAAACATACGAAGACAGGGGGAAATGGTGTTCATGGGAACAGAGTCACAACAAGTCCACCATTGCGTACGATTTCTTGGCCCATCCGATAGTGTTTCCAGCCATGCGTGTTCCGGATCCTTCACGCTCCAGCCAGGGAGCCCAGAGCACGCGACCATGGCTAACTTTGACACTACCTCCTTCATGCTCCTGGCCCAAGTCATATGTTGGCAATCTTGATTCCGCTTCCAGCCGACTTTTGCGCGCATGAAGAGGGTACGGCGAGATAAGCGATGAGTAGGCATGTAAAGAACATGCCCAAACCACTGAAGTCTGCGCAGAGAAATTATGCTGCTCAGTGGCCGGTAAAGTCTGTATGATCTGAAAATCCTCAGTCGAACATCGTCACTACTAGTGTGACGTTGGCATCGTACACTAGCAATGCTCTGAAGGCAGCGGTGATCAAAAACAGACACGCTCTTTACATCCTTTGCGCAAACAGGCTAAGTCTCGAAGCTGTAAAGCAGAACCGCTGTCACTATGGCATTGTAAACTCGGCCCTTCAGAGATAGACTCAGATCAGGTCGACGCCAGAGATGGCGGATATTGGCAAGACTAACCCGAGCCTTGGAGATGCGCAAAGAGAACTCATTCGTTAAATTATTAGCGCTGAGGCAGCTTCTGATGTAAACGAACTTGTACACCGTTTCTAATGAATGACCTAGAAGAGTAAGGGTAAGAGTAGCGCCTAGCCAGTCGTGCAAGAAGACT